CGAGCGTGGGGCTGCAGAAGGAGAGGAAACTGCTATAGGCGGCAGGGAGAACAAAGGACACAGATTCTGGCCTGGCTCTGCCCCTCTGGAGGGCTTTGGGATTGCACTGGGCCATCAGCTCTTGCCAGTCGTGGGGGCAGCCGGTTGGCACTGCCTCACAGACTGAACAAAAACCTGGCCGCCACGACGGTACCTCTTCGGCTCGGACTTGACTGCAGAAGCTGCAGCAGTGTCATTGCCCTAGGTGACTCCAGGGGATCTGGCACTGTGAGGATTATGGACCTTGGACTCTGTCATTTTGACAGCCGTTTGCCCTTTTGGATTATAAAACCAGTTGAGAGCCTTGTTTAGAGCTGTGCACGGCCCCTGTGCCCAGGGGTGCTGTGCACTCTGGGCATCCCTCACCCAGGGAATTTTTTTAGTAGCTGTGGGGACAGGGTGAGCTGGCTGTGTCCATCTTGAAGTCACTGAGTGAAATTTCTGTTTTTTATTCTCTGAGAAGATGAGTTTGTATGTTCTGAGAATAAACAAACACATGAAGATGAAGGCTGTGTCTGATTCCAGCTACAAGCATCTCCTGGGTTTTCCCTGCTGTCACGGGAGATAGGAGGACAGCATTGGGCGCGGTGGGCTGACTTGGGAGATGAAAGAAAATCACATCCAGAGAAGCTCCTGGGGCCTCAGCTGAGAGCCTGAATCTACAGGCGGCCAGTTGAGGGGAGATGAAAGGGCCGCAGGGTCGGAGTGCATCTTGCCTGCCTGATGTAGCCTCCCTTAACTTGTAGTCCTGCCTGCCCGCGCGCCCTCTGGGGAGCTTTGCACAAGGGTGACAATGGAGAGCGGTTGTGCCACACGGGCAGGTGGGGCCCAGTTGTGGCCTGTTGTGGTGTGCCAGCGGCTGGATGGCACCTAGTCTTCAGCAGCTTTGCTGGTGGCTCCCTGGTGGCTGAGCCCGCTGCTCACGAGAGGGGTGGAGACGGGAACTAGGGGCATTAAAGAGCGATGAGCTGGAGCCCACGGAGCGAGGCTGTGGGGAGAGGGCTGCAGAGCTGGGCAAGTGCATGGAGTTCAAATTAGAAATACTCTTGGGTCTTTTCGACCCGAGGCAGGGACGGTGTAAGGCTGTGACTAAGCCTTTTCTTCCTCACCTCCCGGAATAGGTCCCTTCCGTGCTGCTGTTTTCCTCCTGGTACCTGGGCATGAGGGGGCTGCCCAGGAGTGCAGTCCTTCCCGCAGCTCTGTCCTCGTGCCCTTCCCACTCAGCGGGTCCTTTGTGAGAGAAAGGAGGCCGGGATACTTCTCTCTTCTAGACTTGGCCTGCGCTGTGAGGAACCTGGCCACCTGAGCCGGCAGACACAGAACAGGAGCCTGAAGGACTGTGCATGGTGTTTATTAGAGATGACAGTGAGGTGGGGGTCTTGTGGAACATGCTCTGTAGGTCACACGTTAGAGCCATAAGGCAAGGGTAGTCAGGTAGACAGGGCCGCTGGGGGCTGTCCACTGTGTCCTATCTCTCCCCACCTAACCCTAACTTAACAAGCAGCAGCTATGAATCAGCGAATAAAGTCGGGGCCACGTTCTCCAGGAGGCATGAGGGCCAAGAACAGAAATGACAGGAGGCAAGAGCAAAAAATGAGCGGGGCGAGGAGGCCCCTGTAGCTGTTCCATACGTCCTCTGCTATACACACTCTCCCTTCCCAACCCCCAGTCCAGGTTGGCTCCTGTCTGCCATTCGGGGTGACCGCGTTCCTGGTCTCTGGTCCCGTCACATGTTGAGAAGCTTTCCCGACAGGCGAGGAGAACCCTTCCCTGCAGGAGCTTCGGCTGTGAGGCCTCTGGCCCCGGCCTAGCCTGCCTGCTGCTCCAGCCTTGTGTCTGGATGCCCCACTCCAGCTGATGGACGGGAGTGCCACCCTGTCGGGCTCTGATTGTCTCACTTCTAATGTGTGGCAGTGAGGCGAGCGGAGGACCTCGGACCCCAAGCACAACCCCTGAGTGCCTCGACTGTCGGGACTTGGGCCTGCTCAGGGGCCTCGTTTCTTCCTCATGCCATGCTGCCCACACCCACCCTCTTGTCACTCTGAGGGGGCATCCCTTCCCTGAGTCTGGTGGGAAGGCCCCTGCTAAGGGGATCCTGGCCTGAGGGCACTGCCGGTGGGGCAGCTTCTTGTGCAGGAGAGGAAGGTGCCGGGGGTGCAGCACACACAGCTAGTACCTGGAATGGGAGCCTACGGGGGTCACTGTGCCCAGGAGGTAAGGGGGCTGGCTCCCTGCTTCTCCCAGAACCTTGGGACCACAGGCAGCCCTGGAGCTGGGGCCGGGCAGGGGGTTGTGGGGGCTGAGCCTAGTGCCAGCCTAACGCCAGTCTAACTCCAACCTGCCTGGAGTGGGCACCCCAGCCAGCTGTGCCTGTGCCTGCCAGGGTAGGGCGGCAGGAGGCTGTCAGTAGCTGTCCTTGGGCCAGGGCCGGTTGCGCTGCCAGTTCCGGTCATTGTGGTTGTGCTCCGAGTCCTGGGCTAGGAGCCGGTCTTGGGGGTCGTGCCCGTTAGCACTAGGCAGCCCCGAGGTGTGTTGGCGGTGAGGCTGGTACAGGTCCTGGTAGGCGTCCGCATAGTCCTCCTCCAGGTGGCGGGAGCTACGCTGCGAAGACCCTGTCCAGGCTTGGCGGGAGCTCTCGCTGGCCTCGTCTGAGGGCATCAAGCTGTCCCGCTCCAGCGGCGAGTGCTCCTCGCCGCGCTCCCCCAGCAGCTGCTGGTTCTGGGGGCAACAGGACAGCTCTAAGTAGGCAGGGCAGACCTCGCCTTGGCCTCCCTCCCACCTCTAACTGGGTGGGGGCCGTTCTGCCCCCTCGACTCTCAGTTCCTGGATACAGGAAACAGTGCAAGGAAGGAGGGAGAGGCATCTTCCACGTGAGACATGGAAAACGGGAGCTTTTGATTCCTGCAAAATTCAGGCTCTGCTGTCAAGACAGACTAAGCTAAAGAGAGTGTTTCTTTTGAACCCAGAAAAGTAACCTCTGATTACCCACCTTACTGATTTATTCCCTCTCTCATCAGGAAGTTCCTTCCCCCATCTGCCCTGGCTCTGTATAGCACAGCTGAGTTCTCCGATCCTTTGGCCTTCAAGCTGGAGGCCAAGGACAATCGCCTGGGCCAGGAGCAGGCAGTACTTTGGCGGGTTCAGCCTGAGCACCTGTGCCCACTGCAAACGAGTACCTGAAGTCCGGGGATGGCACTGGGAGGGCCCAAAAGTCCAGGGCCGGGGGCCGGGTGGTGGGTGGCCCTCCAGTAAACCTCTAGGTATTCGGCCAGGTGCTCACACGCATCCTCCAGCTGGTTCTCATCCAGAATCACATCAAATGACTCCTGGGGAAGAGAGGGAGAGGGGGAACGTTGGCTGCCTCTTGGTAGCAGCACCCCCCCACCCGTCTCCCTCACTCCCCCGCCCTGGAGAAGCTAGAGTGGGCACAGGAGTAGCTGACCCAGGCACTCACTGGTGGGCACTGAACCAGCTTGTCATATGCCATCATCTGTACAGTCAGGTGCTTCATCTGTGACTTCCCCCGGGAGCGGATGAGACGCTGGAGGACCTGAGGAGGAAGGGCAGGGCTGGGCCTAGAGAGAACCCGGCATGTCCCCCACTTGTGCTACAGCATCAGCAGCAGGTGAGGATGATTCAGACGGGGGCAGCAGGAAAAGGGAACTCAGGAGCCCTCGGGCAGGGATCAGGCAGAGGTGTACCGCGTTCTGGGAGGGCAGCCCCGTGGGCCTCCTCCATCGCCGTTGAGGTACCTTTGGTGAGGATACTTTGACAAAAACGATGATGGGGGCCAAGGAGGTCTTGGCCAGCTGTGCCGGGTGGTTGATGGTGTCGGCATCCAGCACTACCAGCTGCAGAGATTTTGCCAGCTCGAATATGCGCTCGATCTCACTCTGTACTTCCGCTGCGGGAGGGGGCAAGTGGGCCATGACGCTCACCGCGGGGCTCCACCTACTTCTTAGTCCCTTGGGGCCGTGGGAGCGCTCCGCGGTGGTGGACGGGAAGGAATCGGAGGGAGAGGGTATATTCATCAAGGTGCAGGCAAGCAGTGAAACGGAGAACCGGGGAGACTGGGGCGGTTCTTGCCAGTCCTGGGGCGGGTAGAGAAGCTGGGCAAGACTGCAGGTGCCGGGGAAGGGAGAGGTAGGAGAAAGGGTCTCACTAAGGCTTGAGTGGGTGGAGAAGCAGGAGACCGGGACTTCTCACCAATGCTGGAGCGGGCGGAGGAACGCTCAATGATGGTCCTCTTGCCAGGATTGTTGAGCACAGATCGCTTTGCCAGTGAGAGGTCAGCTGTGACGCGGGTGATGGAGATCCTGGGGTGGCGGTGGAGAATCACAGCCCACCTCTAAATCCCAAGCCTTAGGCTTCTCCTTACCCAGGTCCCACTGAGTTTCTCTTTAGAAAAGACCTTGCTACAGGCACCTGGAAGGAGATAATGATCTTCTCCCTGGTTCTCATGCCACCTGAGGCCAGAACAACTTACCTGCCATCAAATCTATGTTTGAGGAAGTCGAACAGAGCCTTCTGCATCATGTCCGTGACCTGGGTGGCAGGGGTGAGGGGAAAGGCATGGGATTGACTGGGGCCCTCTTGCGCAGGGGCAGCTTCCCTAGGCATGGCCCTGGAGCCCGCCCCCTCCACACACAGACCTGGTGGGGGTAGAACACCCCTCCCACTGTCCCTGTGGTCTTCCCACGGCAGGCTGGGTAGAGGCAACCCTTTGGGGTCAGGGGCCTTCTCTCACCTCATAACCTTTCAGAGAGGGTCCCACCAACACCACAGGCCGCATGGAGGGCACCACATCATATGGGGGAACATGTTCTGCCTGCAGAATGGACCCAAGGTCAGGCAAAGCCATGGCCCTGTCGCCTGCCCTATGCCTGACTGGTGCAGGGCAGATCCAGAAGTTCTGGGCTCCCTCCCCTCTCTGTTCTCTTGCCCTTCCAATAAGGACTGCCCAGAAACCTGTCCCCACAGCCATAAGCCATGAGCCCCCCCAGCCCAGGTCCCTTCCTTGACTCACCTGCTTTTGCTTCTGCTTGGCTTTTTGGAAAAGGAAATAAAAGATTAAAGTTGGTGAAGGGGGAAAAGCCCTGGGGGCATGGTATTTATTCCCTTCCCCAAGGGAGACACTGGGTTTCTCCGAGCTCTTTTGGTCCCTCCACCAACCCCCTCCCACACAGCTCACCTGGGAACAAGCTCCCTTTCTCCCTGTGTCTTAGTTACCCACCTACCCAAGATGGGTGGGTTGGGGGGAGGCTACCTAGAGATGGCGGAGGGGAGCGTCGGTTGCCAATGTCACTCAGGCTGGAGGGGTTCCCAGATCTCCTGAGAGCAGAGAGGGAGGTCAATAAGCTTCTGTGTGAATGCATTTTCTACACATTATTTCACTGTCGTATACATTTCCTTACATCTTAACTAGCGAGGGAGGCGCACGTGTGTGACAGGTGTACTTATGCGTGTTGGCTTTCATATTTGTGCGGTGTTAATGCGTGCTGCGGGTAAAGTACATGTGTCTGGGGGTACGTTTATTGAGTCACAAACCCTGCTCTCACCTGGCCTTCTGCTCCTGCTTGAGCCGGATGCTCTCCAGGCGCTGGGGGCTGGGGATGAAGGCAATGTCCCCACCCTCTTTCACTAGCCTCCCGATCCACCAGTCATTGCTGTACTTCTGGGGGAAGGGGCGGTGAGAGGAGGCGCCCAGGCCTCAGTCCTGGCTCTTCAACGTGAAGGAGCCAAGGAGGCATTCAGAGAGCGGTCTGAGGAAGGCAGCACAAAAGGAGGAGGGCAGGAGAAGGTGCCAGAGGGAAGGGCAGCCAGGTTTGAGCCACCCAAGATTTCCGTGCAAGGCATCACCGATGTCACAGGTAACCTAAGAGGCAACTCATCTAACTGCTCACTTTACACGTATGGAGACTGAGGCCCAAGCCAGGTCTCAGAAGGATGGAGGCCCTGGGGACTGGGTTGTAGATATGAGGGGCGTATGGGTATGTGTTCTGGATAAGAGCTGAGGAGTCTGGGGACCTGTTCATAGACTAAGACTGAAGTAAGAGACAGGGGAGCTAGGGCACGAGCAGGGGGATTAGGTGGCTCCTCTTTGGGGGTTGGGGCTGGTCACCTCTTTAATATGCAGAAAATCTTTGGCCTCAAAGTTGACTCCAGAGCCCTGGACTGGGCACTCCTCGTCCAGTACGCCACAGTAGCTGACATTGGTCCTCACAGCAAATGCCACAGGTTTGTGCTAGGGAATTTGGCCATCAGTGCAAATGAGGGGAGCCTCACAGCACCCCTTCTAGTTTCAATGCCCCATCAGTAGAGGGCGGAGGCCCCAGCAGGATGCCCATGACACACACACTCTTTCACACTCATGAGCATCCTGCCCACTGACCCCTGGGGACTTAGGACCCACCCCAAGTTTCCACCCAGTCCAGCCTAGCCTGCCAGCCCAAGTTGCTACCTTGGCCCTTTCAAGCTGCTGCTGAGCCTGGCTCTCCACTTCCCGCCGGGCACTCTCCCGGTCCTCCTCCAGGGAGACGTCTGAGTCCAGAGATGGGCGGCTGGTATAGGAGTCGGCTGAACCCTGGCATGGGGGAGAGGTTGTGACCGCTGGGCACTACAGGCATCCTCTAAACCCTACAGCAGAGGCTCCACTAACCCCAGCCTGTCCATGTCCGTGCTGGACCCCGGTGGTCCCTCTCATCTCCCTGAGAAGGGCCCCAGTGCTTCTGGGGCTGCAGGAAAGCCAGCCCAATGCATACGTGCTAAGATTGGGGCCCCTCCCCACAAGCCCATTAATACTGCGGCTCTGAACAGAGCCTTCACTTTCCTCCTTCCTCCCTTTCCTCTCCTCTACCCTGGCCTCTGGGGCAGAGTGAAGGGAGACGTACTGCAGATGATATATTGGAGATGATTCTGGATCTAGGAGACCCAGCCCTCTTGTTCACATCAGCCTGCAAAGCATCCTGGGCCTTATCCCTTTAAAATGCGTGGCAGCAGTACAGTCAGCTGGGAACAGTCAAGAGACACTGGTTGGCGTGGCACTCTCTCCTGGGTGTCAGGACAGAGCCATCTACCCCCTTCGATCTCCTCTCCCCAGGTGCCTACCCTTCCAGGGTGAAGAGGAAGACACGGTGCTGCCAACTCCTGGAAGTCACTTCCTCTCTCCCCACCCCCACTTTCTTTCCCCTTACACCTGCTGGGGCAACTGGCCAGGTGTGGGCAGCAAACAAGACAGACTGAGAAGGCAACACAAAGCTGTCTCCCTGGGCCCCAGTGAGGCTCAGCCACACCATATGGCCTGTATCTCCCCAGCCCTTCCCCAAGAGGATATCAGCCCTGAAGGAAGGCGCTGTCAGTGCCAGGCAACCCAGCGGAGGACTCTGGGGATGTAGGGACAGGGTCTCTAGTAACCTGAGCCGGGAGAGTCTCTGAGTCCTGCGAATAGGAAGGGGGTACGTTTGGAGGGTTGTAGAGCTCACCAAGAGGGAGATGCGCAAATGAGGAAGGAAAGCTGGACCTTAGGACAGGAGGATAGAAGTCAGGATGTCTGGGTTTCCCTGTCAGACTAGGGGAAAGGGAATCTTTTGTTTTCTGTCTCAGTCTCCACTCTTTATGATCAGAGGCTTGAAGTGTCATTTCCATCAGTTCTGAAGTGCAGGTGGCACAGATAAGGTAGGAGTCTGGCTAAGGGGTCCATGTGGGAGTGTGTGTGCGTGTGTGTGTGTAGGTTTTAGAATGTTCTCAGGCTGAGGAACATTCCTTCAAGCTCACTGTGCATGAGCACTTACAGAAGGCAGCAGAAGCCAGAGTATCAGTGGGGAAGACAAACTCACGTACCACCCTGCCCCTCGGCCCCAGCCCCAGCATCGGCAAGAGGGCTGGTCAGCTTGATATCAGCCCGGGGCCTTGAGCCTAAGGAAACACAATGTCTGTGGTAGATGGAACGCATGAAGAGAGCACAAAGGGAAAAAGTCTTTCATTTTATAGAGGAGTAGAGTCTGCCTGCTGTTCCCCATCTCTCTTGAGAACAAAATAAGGCTGGCTTGGCAGCAGGAGAAAGAGCGGCTGAGCCTCGGGAAGAACCTTTGTGCTGTCAACAGAGTGGGGGGGACCTCCTTTCAGGGGTCTTAGGCACAGGAGACAGCTGTCTAATGCGAGCAGGGACCAATGGGAAAGGAGGGAAGAGGCAAGGCGGGATGACAACTCACTTTGATGAGTAGGTATCAGATGCCTTCTAGATGTCCAGGCCTGTGCAGGAAGAGGATTCTGACCTTTGCTCCACAGGCTCTTGGCCTAATTTAGTAATCTTAATGTCCCCGCCTGGAACATCTGGGTCACCTGGCCTCTCACCTCAGAATGGGAATCATAGGATCTTCTCCTAAATGTTTAAGGAGTTGTGCTCACGATGGAACCCCCTCTCCATTATTCCCAAGTCCTCAGAGCAGGACCCAAGGATGGGTGCATCCTTCGTGCCCTGGTATCACTTGGGAGGCCAGGGCTGCCCTGCCAAGGGTGCTCTGGGGTCTTGCCTCCCCCACCCCCTGTTATGCCAAAACAGCCAGAGGCCCAGTACTTTGGAGCTGCCAGGAGTTGGCACAGTGCCCTGGTGGTGCCCCCCTTGCCTGGTGAGTGTGTGGGCAGGCTGCAGCTCCACTCTTGCCTGGCACGGGGGAAGAAGAGGAGGGAGATGAGCCGGTGGATTTATTTAGAGCCTGATCTCCCTCCTACTGCTTCAGAGGGGGCCTCAGGGAGAGCAAGGAGCCAGGCAAGAGAAAGGGAAGCGGGGGGAGGGTGATCCAGGAACCAGAGAGGGGTGGGGAGCCAGCAAGGGGGTAGCAGGCTGCCCCCAACACATCCACATGTCAGTCTTCACCTTGCAACAGCCCTTGCCTTCTTGCCAGGGACGGGAAGAACCTTCTAGGGCCCTCCAGCCCCTCCGAGAGGTTCATTCTCAAGCTCACCTTGGCACCCTGGGCCATGCCAGCTGTCCCTTCAACTGTCAGAAAGAGGTGTCCACCAGAGCCTTGAAAATCATCTGCTCTAGCTGCAATGTAATTAGCCCCAGAGGCCCAATGGGGAATTGGGCCCAGCAGGAGCCCAGTCCCAGAAAAGGACTGAGAGCTGCCTATCCTGAGCCCTAGAACTCATGTATCGTGGGCCTGGCAGCAAGAGATGGGAGAAAACCCAAATACCCCCCCTTTGACCAGAGTGGTCTGCCCTCCACACCTATCAGGGACCCCTTCCAAGCCATCTAGTGGTCCTCTCCTAAGGAGACCTTCATGCAGCATGTTTCGGAGAAGGGACAGAGAAGCTGCTGCCCATCCTTGCCCCATCTTTCCAGGCACTCTCCCTGCTCTCTGAGCTCCGGGAATCACTGCCTAATGAGCTGATTTGTCTCAGTGGGTCAGGAGATAAAAGCAAAGAGGAGAATTAAATATTTATCAGTTGCCTGGTTCTCTGAGCAAAGAGCTTCCTCTCCATCCCCAGGCCCTCAGCCCCTCTGGCCTCACCTCTAGGCCCTCCATGCTGAGCAGGAGCTCAGGAAGCCCACTGCTCTGAGGACGCCCCAGCAGGAGGCGTGGAATGGATGGGGCTCAGTCAGCTGGCCCACCCATGTGCCAGGTGCCTAGTTTCCAGCCTGGGAGAGAAGCTGTGCTGCAGGCAGGGTGAGGAAATAAGGCAATGCTCAGGGATGGGCAGCAGAAGGGAATAATGGAGGTCCTCAAGTTTATGATCCTTTTGAGGCTGGTACCTGATTCTCTGTTATCCCAGGCTCTCTAAATTTGTCCTTTACTTGAAGCATAGGTCTGAATTGTCCTCCTCCCCCAAAGCCTCAGCTTCTCCAGTAGCTGTTGTGTTCAGACCCAGTCAATCCTCCTTTGGGAACTCCAGACACTGCGTGTGCCCTCTCTACAGCCTCTATGCCCTCAGTCTCCAGCCCTTCCTCCCTCTACCCTTTAGTCCTGGGCTTCGGGGCCACCTGCTCGAGCCTTTCCCCCACACTACCCCCCGCCATGCGCA